GTGGCGGCATTTACGTTGTTGATGTTTGTGGGCTCCGGTGACCATTTAACACCAGATGCGACTCGTCCCAACTATCATAGCAACAGTAAAACAATTAATGGGACGCCATCACGAATTAGCAGACTAATGGCAGCCTTTTCCTAATTACATAGACAAAGGCTAGTTATATCCTGCGTGTCAACTGCCGACTTTTTTCAGCAGGGAACGTTTATATTCCGCAGAACTTACAAAATGTATTTTAATTACTAAATAAGACGTGAAGTTAAATATAATAGATCTACACATTGATATAGCTCTATCCTATTACCCCAAAACAAGTTCAATATTTCTCGAACGTATGTATAACACATATATCTACTTCTTTGGCACATGCCGTAACTGGAAAGTGGATTCTGTTCTGGAATTTTTTTTGTTAAAATAATGGATTTCAGATTTTAGTTTAAAAAATAGCAAATTTTAAATGTATCTAGAAATTTTATTATGACACTTAACGTTGTGTTTGGCTGTTTGTATAACTGCTCTCTAATTTCAATAGTAATTTCGTTTCGGAGCAGGTGTTTGTATTTGATAACGGGCGTGTAAAAACCGCACGTGTGGTACTGGCTTAATGGGCTTGGAAATTTGATAAAAATACCGGTCGCCCGGTGTGGCGGGACTTAATCTAATTTTAGTGGCTAGCTTTATATCAACACCGATATTGGTTTAGTTTATGTTCTCATTTTGAAGGTACAGCTTTATAAAAGTTAGGTCTGGGATAAACTTTTGGACCGTTTGTTTGTATAGTTTTAATTCTATTATGAATACTATTGTATATAAATTTGAGGTGGGTCCAAAAATCTTACCAAAGGATTAGCTGTAGTGATTGCTTAATATTTTTTGTTTTAATTACGATCAGAAATAAGATATGTCTTACGGTTCCACTAGTTTTTTAAGTTGAATGAATTGCTAATGGAAAATCACATTATTAGCTGCAGTTGACGACAATTGTTACTGTTTTAAATAGAAAATGAAATAAAAGAAGGATTTTTACGAAGAAGTATTTTTTGCGTTATGCTAGAGATGTACCAAAGTGTACCCCATCTAAATTTAATCCAATTTTTTTGAAGATATCTTTATACAGACCTACGTCATGATATAGTTTAGCTATAAATGCTATGTTTGTTCATCAAGCAGCCATTCTTACGGTATTATGCAACCATGAAATTATAGCTCTACCTAATTTCGTTTACTGTTATTTCCAATTTAAATTTTCGTAGAAAACAACAGTAAGTTTAAACTGTTACTTCCGTCCGTACCGAACTATCTGTTAGAATATTTTCTGACAACTCAATAATGGTTCTAGTCAGTACATAGGCACGTCTGTAACCTCGTCCTGGCTAAATATCAATCATATGTGACGTTATATCATTAGGATAAATAAATAAATATATTAAATAAAACCTAAAAACGGACATTTAAAAGGCAAAAGCTAAATATAGAAAAGGGCATCGTAAAAAAGATGTATCTTAAACCGAGAGAGCGTTATCGTAAAATGCAGAAACTCATAAGAAGAATTACTTGTAGTGGATCGTCTACGGTAACTATATATATTTTTATATACAACCGATCGTTTAATAACGTACTTTAGATACGAAGGCCCTTTATGGATCATTCACCTTCAGTTCACCTAGACTTTGATAGGTCCAATACCCACCGAGGCTCATGTATTCCCCAATTAACTCGATCCGAACTTGAGCAATATTGTGTAACTTATTCGAGCTTTACAAGCTAAAGCACGCACCGTTGTGTTTCCAGTTTTAGCTTTTACTAATTTACGTGACATTTCTTAGAAAGTGTACGGGTATATGTTCATATGTTATTCGTGTATGTGGGTTGCTAATGCCGAAAACCATTAATATGTATTGGCGAATACAAGAATCCTGGTAAAATGTGTATCACATTATTAATAATATCAAGATATTTTCACAGACAGCTCTGAACAACAATATTCTTAATTAATTCGGTCAACCGAAAACAAACATTAACGCTACGCAGGATCGTGGGGCGTCCTCCAACCAGGTGGACTGACGACTTAGTGCGCACGGCGGGAAGTCGTTGGATGCGGAAGGCGGAGGACCGCATTATGTGGAAGGCATTGGGGAAGGCCTATGTCCAGCAGTGGGCAGATAAAGGCTGATGATGATGATGATGATGATGAGGATCTTTTGCAATTCTATGTACATCCTAGACAGATTAATTACAGAATCGATACGACAAATTTTGGATGCCCGTTCTTTAAGTTTGTTTTGTTCAGAAAACTCCACAAAATTTGGTAAAAAAAAAGTAAACAAACAGTAATATCCTTAATATGTAACGAATAATAGTTTTAATGTTAAGGTAACCAACCACGCTATGGTCTCGTCGAGCTTTGTTAGTTCAGCTTGTCAGACCATACTGTTAATACAGTTATGGCGCCTTTTTATAATTGCAATAAATATTATATTAAATAAATTGAAATTAGTATATCCGTATATAACAGGATAAACGAAGAACAACTAAACATTTTAATTCAAATAATTTATAAGGAAAATGAATAACAACACCCTGTATAAAGAACCTATTCAAGCGGAACACGCAAAAACACTTTCTTAAATTTAAGTGTTTTCTTATTCAATGTGTCCCGCGCATGGAGAACACTCTGTCATATTTACGTTTCATATTGTAGCGTGTAATAAATCAGCTACATCCCTAATTTAAAATCTCCCGTACGCTGTTGTATCGTACGTTGTAGTTGGGCTCGGTCGTTGCTCTCTTGCTCGCAACTGCCATCCCTGGTTCCCTTCGCTTCGGATATTATCGGGCGTTCTCCGTGCGATAATAATCGCGAGGGCAGACCTAACGGTCCCTTTAATACAAGGGTACGTCCTGGATTCGACACAATTGGCGTATTTTTGTGCTTCGAACATGTTAAAGAGTCCTTTTAAATATTTTGAATTTTCAACATCAAATGAAATGTAAAAGTAAAAATTGATTAGTTTGAACTAGCTTTTGCCCGCGACTTCATCCGCGAGGAATGGTTCACAAATACCTAAGTAATGCTTTATTTTAGAACAAATTTTGGTTAGCATAAAAAACGTTATAGTGAGCCAACCTTAACATATGGACATATGCTGTCGCGGACTTTGTTTAGATTTTTTAAAGGGGAACAATTCTGCCATACATTATTTTAGCGAAACTTTAATTGTTTCTGCAACGCACGCAGCGGAAGCTCTCAAAAGGGAAAAAGCCCGATTTTGAAACATTCTTTATTTGGTGCTCCGCTTGTATTTATTGGTCTTAGCATCTAACACTGAAAGAATTTTTCAAATCGGAGCAATAGTTCCTGAGATTAGCGCGTTCAAACAAACAAACTCTTCAGCTTTATAATATTAAGTATAGATTTACATTTACATCTTCGTTTCTCCAGTTCTTCACGGTAAATAGCGTGCACGAATCTTTTACAATATATCAGTCATTGATTAAATCGCTTCATTAATGATTATATTTGCCAAGTTTCTAGTTTTAAATGAATCCACATATTTCATTTGACTTTGAAGTCTCTTGTCTTCGTATTGTATTTATTACGACAGGAGCTCGGCATCATCATTAATGATTACATGTGAGTGAAGTGTTGAGTCAAGAAATATAGTTTAAAAAAAATATTAAATCAGTTGCTTTGAAATACACTTGTATATTACGCTATTGAACATAAGTATGACGCGGTTCAGAAAACTAATAATATCTTGTATCGAGCACTACTCTAAAAGCGCTTATAAACTTTAATAACTTTATCTATCTTCTATATATATAAAAATGAATTGCTGTTCGTTAGTCTCGCTAAAACTCGAGAACGGCTAGACCGATTTGGCTGATTTTGGTCTTGAATTATTTGTGGAAGTCCAGAGAAGGTTTAAAAGGTAGATAAATATAAAAATGCTCGGAATTAAATAAAAATATCAAGTTTGTTTTCCCTTTGATGTGTCCCCCGTCGGACGGATTCCTTTTGTTTGTTTTAAGTTTATTTTATACAAAAGTTTAGGTCTTTTATTTATCGATGGAGGCACTACGAAGTCTGCCGGGTCAGCTAGTATTGAATAAAAATATCATGCTACTTTTTTATATAAGAATTTTATAGGGTCCATGAAGTGAAATTAAAATAGCATTGCTAGAAAAATCTGTCCACAGCAGACCTCTAATATTTTATCTATACAGATTTTCTTTTAAATATTTTCGGCTACCCGAATGAGGTACAATTATTTCGGTATGCTAATTTCGAACTTTGGATTATTCAGATGCTTATGTCAATACATGTCACGAACTAGCGGGCAAATTCATATTGTTGTGCGTAACCCCACTTACATTGTAATGGTAATGGGGTACTGCTGGTACTTTAATGACAATAGGAAGAGCTATGCAATTTCAGAAATATAATTATTACGGTCCGATTGTTCTTATTACAATCGAAGGATATCTAGATGACAGGGTTATTATTGAACTTATTGGTAGAAGTGATTGTCTTTCATCCTAAGATTAATATTGGAATAGATTAGGTTTTTTTCCCAAAACTCTTACTCAGTTTCAGATTTGCTATAATAAAAACGTTTATTTTTATTAGCTTAACTTTTTTTTATCTTACCTATGCTGATAGATAGCCTGGAGAGGCCATTTCAGCTTTACCCTAGCGTGTAGGGGAGCTCTCGGGGCTCAAATCGGAATTGTTGCTAACACTGGCCCTAGCAAGAGCAGTGCTTCGCAGAATCTACCATCGGCTCCGAAATGCGACCCACTGTGTAGATCCAGCGAGAAAATCAGTCTGCTGTGTCTATGGGTTAATTTACTCGTCACTAGAACACTAACTACACTTGCATAGGTCATGACGGGGCGTATGCAAGTTTTGTAGAGTATCACCTTATTACGAAGGGACAATTTACTTCCTAGCTTAGCTGAATACGTAACTAAATTATATATTGTTTCCTTGACAGGGCTGTGACGGACCCTCGCGATGGCCGGCGGGTGGCGCTCAAGAAACTGCCCAACGTATTCCAGTCGCTTGTCTCCTCAAAACGTGTCTTCCGCGAGCTCAAGATGCTCTGCTTTTTCAAGCATGAAAATGTAAGTTAATCTGGTTGGCTATTTAAATTTTATCTACACTTTTGATGTAGAAGCAGTTTGGGATCCTAAACAAAGAACAGGATGCTAATAATGTAGGCAGCGGCTTGGCTCTGCCCATGGCATTGGTGAAATCCATCGGCTTCGGTAACCACTCACCATCAGGTGGGCCGTATGCTCGTCTGAGCACAATTTAAAAAAATCATCTTTTTTCAAACCAAAATCACGTCCTGGAAGCCATGGCTGCTGTAGAAATCGGCAGAATGTTGGTTCCCATAACGAGCTGCCAGTAATCACCATCTTTCAAATTGAAAGCAATCCCTTCGTGATCATACAACAAACGTCAATTCCGAAAATGATAACATAAATAAACAAATTGATATTTACATCACATACACAAATATACACTCATCTTAAATTGTATTTGATTAAAACCACAGCTCTTTCCTTTGAACACGAAATACTGTATTAACTCGACCTCTTATAGAGAAGCAGTTTTGTCATCAAAATATCTTTGGTTTTCTCATAATGAGGCGACTTGTCAGCCGTCACTATATTAATCTCGCTTCAATATATTTTTTATTTTTTTATTGCCCTTGTCCCAGACGAGCATACGGCCCACCTGATGGTGAGTCGTTACCGTCGCCCATGGACTTCAGCAATGCCAGGGGCAGAGCCAAGCCGCTGCCTACCGCCAAAATTTTATCACAATTTAAACTATTCATGTCAACCATAAATTATTCTGAACCAGTGCTTTAATCAGATCCGATACTACCATAATTTGATACGGAGCCAATTAATTTACCTGAAACATCTACATAGTCATTGTGTTTTGGATAATATGAATTGGACGTTACCACGAAATAATTATTATGATGCAGAATGCGGCTTCGCTCATAATTTATTCATTTTCACTGTTTTATCGATTAGCGTGTGTTGTTTTCATTTTGCGCGCATTTGTCGCTACGTACAAACCTGAATAAGGATGTCGCCTGTGTTTCTGCATTTTGTTTTATATCTAAATAACAAATACGTTTTTTATGCAAACAGTACCAAAAGTTTGTAAGCATTTCCACAGTTGGATTATAGGTACTATATGTAAAGAAAATTGGATTCATAGTGGGAATTCATTCATCTCTGTCGTGTACTTAAACACTAATGGCCGTGACGTCATCATCCTCTTCATTCATAATTTGCTTCCCTTTTTGTTATTTGACAATAATCTAAACCGCCAGTTTAAAAAAATTCTTACTTTCATTTCTGAACGGAATTATTTAATCCTTGTTATGTTAGATTATAGATAATATTTGGATAATAAACATAGCCAGCCAACTTCCCTATTAGCATTGAAATGAGAAAGTCGGTGGTGAACTCATTGCGGTGGGTAATAACGTGTCAGCTTGACATTTGGCGAGTTCGAAGCTTATCGCTATCGACAGATCTGTGAAAGGCGGCCTTGTGTTAATGAAGTGTTTCTTTGTCTTTTCAGGTACTATCGGCGTTAGACATCCTACAGCCACCTAGCCTCGACTTCTTCCAGGAAATGTATCCTTTTGAATTGTTTTTTCGTGTAATGTTATTCGCTCGGCATGTTTTGCAGATGACGATCTCATGTTGTCTGACCTCACACGTTATCTATCCAATATAGCATTTACCAGCGTGTTTTAGGTTATCAAAAATAATTTTGTTATTAAATTGAATATCTCCGTATTTTGTACGCTAATTTCAGTGATTTATCTTTGTTAGATCCCTTGAGAGAATGTTAGATTTATAGGCCTGTTATAATTTGTATTTTTTCGGCTTATTGGAGAATTATANTTTTTTTTTTTTTTTTTATTGCTTAGATGGGTGGACGTGCTCACAGCCCACCTGATGTTAAGTGGTTACTGGAGCCCATAGACATCTACAACGTAGACGCGCCACCCACCTTGAGATACAAGTTCTAAAGTCTCAGTATAGTTACAACGGCTACCCCACCCTTCAAACCGAAACGCATTACTGCTTCACGGCAGAAATAAGCAGGGCGGTGGTACCTATATCCGCGCGGACTCACAAGAGGTCCTACCACCAGTAATTACGCAAATTATAATTTTGCGGGTTTGATTTTTTTTATTACACGATGTTATTCCTTCACCGTGGAAGTCAATCGTGAACATTTGTTGAGTACATATTTCATTAGAAAAATTGGTACCCGCCTGCGGGATTCGAACACCGGTGCATCGCTTCAACACGAATGCACCGGACGTCTTATCCTTTAGGGCACGACGACCCTAAGACCATGATTTTCGGTACAATTTTTCGTCTAAGCTGAGGTAAATAGCTGCGTGAAATCGTGTAGCTGTATAATAGGTGATCCCAGTAGCTTGAGCCATCGACGTTCGCAGCTCGGATAGCTCTGGATTTCATTGTACTCGGGTAGCGGTCACAATTTATCTTTTTTTTTTTTTTCGTTTCGGCCGCCACATAAATTTCAGGGCGCGGAATAACGTTGGGTTTATGTTTCAAATTTTATATCGCGCAGTCTATTGTGATTTTTATGAGCCGCTGTGATCTTTACGGCTTGATGCATTGTTTCATTATGCCCGAGGGTGAACAGAGAACGAAGCTGAGAATAACGGCGCAGTAAAGGATGTAAGAATTTAAACTTGTTAGAAATACTAGAGGTCCCGCAGTAGTCGAAATTCGACTATAATTAATTGGAATTGTAAGTTTGTACACTATTATGATTGTATTTTATACTTCTATAATCACAAATTTCGCCAAGATTACACTATAAAAATATTAACAAAGACAAACAATATTTAATGTATTCTCAATTTGACAACAGACGTCAAGAACAAAAGCTTGACAATAAATAGTATGCATGCATGTGTGCGTCAAATACATGGTATGTAGTGTGTGTAATGTTTTCTTTATTGATTTAATGTATCTATTATGCATTATTTAAAAAAAAAAGCATTGTGCACTTCTTCTCTATATTCTCTATAAGGGTCGAAAATTTCATACTCCTGCGTCCGAGCGATTTTCGTAAAAAGGGATACAAAGTTTTTGCTTCACGTATTAATATATAGTTTGAAATTAGAAATATTGAAAGTCGACCAAATTAATCGTAACACTCTTTCCGTATAAATTATTTACGTCAGAATCTGTACATGTTGGAACGCGTTTGTTTCGAGTTCCACTGATGTATCTGTTTAGAGCAATTCTAAACATGAAGTTTTTATTACTATTTTTTGAATTTTGATATAGAATAATAATTTTGACAACACATTCATTGTAAATTCAATCAACAATTCAGGTCGTCGTACGTGCACGTGTTGTAACTAATTAAAATAAAAAATAAAAATAATCTTCTCTCTGAATATATCAAATTATTGAAGCGACCAGCACAAATTACAGTCCACGCTCTACACAGTATCGAGTCGTGTAATGCGCTCGATTGTTAAACGCACATACAGACAGACATTTACGATATCGGATGTTATTGAATAATGACTGATCGATCGTTTTGCATGTTTACTTCATAAAATTATGTTGGATTTAAGGATTTTTGCATGTATATTTTTTTCTATATTGAATTTTCAAAATGTTGATATAGTTAAATATAATTTTACGGCTTAGTATCGCCTTTATTATTGTTAGTAAATTAATTACGACGTTTCGATTACTTTACAGTTTTCCTAGTCACGGATGACACCACGGTAATAATAAATGTCTAAGACTCGTTACAATCGAAGAAAATACTATAAAATATTTATATAAAAATGAATAAATGAAATACGTTTTAGTTCTTAAGACAATATTCTTTATCGGATCAAATCAGTATCAATCAATGCGTGCTTAAATAATTTGAAATTAAAAGTAGTGTCTTTATTAAATATACACACGTAATACACAATAAACATACCTATTTATCGTAACAAAAAGCTCCAATATCAAAGGTGATTAATAATAATTGAATCCAAATTTTATGAACGTAGAAATAATAATAAAAACGGCCGCTGTTAAAATTTAAACATCTCGCATTTAAAACATTCATACTTGATAGTTCGAATATTGGGAATAAAAAAATTGAATGGAAAGTTGCACCGAGGGTGTGCGGTGCGGACCGGAGATGGCGTCAGCTGGCAAGTACACAATACTCCGAGCAGAGCCGCCCTGCCAACGATTTATTCCCCTTCAAGTTTTATTGAAAACGGAATGGCACTCGGCGTTCCGCACCAACTGAAACCGCCTCAAAGTGCCAGCGTCCTTATGTAGCCAGACGACTTTCAAACAAGGCTCATTNGAAAGTTGCACCGAGGGTGTGCGGTGCGGACCGGAGATGGCGTCAGCTGGCAAGTACACAATACTCCGAGCAGAGCCGCCCTGCCAACGATTTATTCCCCTTCAAGTTTTATTGAAAACGGAATGGCACTCGGCGTTCCGCACCAACTGAAACCGCCTCAAAGTGCCAGCGTCCTTATGTAGCCAGACGACTTTCAAACAAGGCTCATTACAAACCTAGAATTGGGGCGGACAAAATTACTATTACATTTGTTATCTTATCATTTTTCGTTATTTATTGCTTAGATGGGTGGACGAGCTCACAGCCCACCTGGTGTTAAGTGGTTACTGGAGCTCATAGATATCTACAACGTAAATGAGATATCAGTTCTAAGGTATCAGTATAGTTACAACGGCTACCCCACCCTTCAAGCCGAAACGCATTACTGCTTCAGGGCAGAAATAGGCGGGGTGGTGGTACCTACCCGTGCGGACCCACAAGAGGTCCTACCACCAGTAAACAATGGTCATATCATTTTAATGGGCATGAAGAAATATTTATATTGCTTGAGTAGGTGAAAGAGCCACGGTGTTATTTGGTGATATAATAAATATGACGTGATTACTGCCACCCACTCTAAACATGAAGTTGAAATCTCAATTGTTTTATAAAATGGCTGTCCAATCCTTCAAACTGGAATGCATGACGCCGCCGAAATAGGCAGTTTGGATTGGCTTACCCATGTGGACTTTCAATACGCCCGGCTGCCTAATAGCATGCATTCGCCATTGAATCTCTTAGTCGCCTGAAGAGAGGGGTGGCGCTATCTTAGGATAATAAATAAATGGAATTGTTATTCACGAACGTATACACTTTATTTTGAATAGACAAAATATTTTATATTAAAACATATTTTATAGAATCTGAGATGTCCCATTCAATATGTTTGGATGTGATTTTTTCACATAGTTTTTGCTAATAGTCTCGGAATTGTTCGGAGTTAGGAGTGTCCTAATATACTTTATTTATTATTAAAAAAAAAGAACACAATATTCCTAATCTAAAAGTACATGTTATTATCCGCATTTGTCCTAATTGTGTTCTTAATATTGTTATAATTAGTAATTAATACAGAAAAGCTTTAGTCAGTCAGTATATACTAGTACACTCAAGAACTTTCACGCGCATGTTTCAATTACAAGATTGCGAAAGAAGATATATTATAAAACTAGCGGATCCGGCGAACTTTGTTCCGCCACACGGTTTGTTTCAAACACATCAACCAGTCAACTTCAAAATTCTACTATAATTAACACAATTAACCATAGAATATATTACGTTTAGCTGTCAGTTGCGTTTTGTTATAGTTACCACGTTTTATGTCAAGTCCCACGGGAATGTGATAAAAAGTATCCTATGTCCTTCTCCTGGTTCTAAGCTACCTCCTCACCAATTTTCAGCCAAATCAGTTCAGTCGTTCTTGAGTTATAAATAGTGTAACTAACACTACTTTCTTTTATATATATAGATAAATTAAAAACGTGTTTTTTCCATACGATCTTTTAATATCGAAATGTCGGCTCCGTCGATATAATGTAAGCATCTCATTTTGTTTCACAACGAAGGGCGAACACTTTAAACAGCTCTTTCCACCTCGTAGCTCTTGTTTTAAAAATATATACGCGTTTCGAAAATGAAGATAAGGTGAATAGTATTAAACAAGTTTTGCCCATGTATATTTTAGCAAGGAGTAAAATGGAATGGTATTATGGAAAATATAGTGTGGCTAAAAGATTTTATATAAGATGTATTCGGAGAACGTTTCGGTTTCAAGGGTGACCTTTTGTGTAATGCGATTCGACCTCATGTCTCAAGAGGGATTGCGGGGTTCACGTAGTGCTGATATAATAGAAGACACCGCTTTCTAAAACTGGGCTCTTTACCTAGATCTAATGGTATAAGTTTATTAACTACTAATAAGGGGATTATGTTTTCATTCATAGCAAATGTAAATGAGGAGTGTACAATGTGTATTTCGAACGAAAATCATTAATGCGGAATGCGCGAGCTAACCATGAATTTGGAATGTAGATATCGGCTTTTAGTAAACTTATCTAATTTAGCGTCACGGTGTTTGTTTCAAGAACCATTCGCACAGTTATTTTTGGTTCTCTTCTTTTTCGCCACCTTATCCCACTAGGTGGGGTCGGCACAGCTAATTTTTCTCTTCCATTCTCTTCTATCAGCCGTCATCTCAACACTCACTCCTCTCTCTCTC